TTCTGTAAGTGCACACAATTTAAGAATAAGTTCATTAGGTCAAAAGTAAACTTCCCTTTAGGGAGATTTTGCATTCAATTCATGTAGCAAAAGGCAGCACTTTCCTTGCGATAGTAACTCCTAGTATTTAGATACATGTCGTTAATACAATCCCAACGCAACATATTTCCTGAAAATACCCCGTTCATACGTACCCCGTTTATCGCAAATTAAAAACAGTCCTTATTGAGTTCAACACGCGTATGTTCAGTTGTAAATCACAAACTGTGTTCGTCAAAGCGTAAAGAAAATCCCGTGTTTTGAAGGGCAGAAAGCAACCATGTTTATATTATAAACAGTTTCAAGTTGACGCGGCGGCAATGGCGGCATATACGAGTGGCATATGTAAAGCCATAAACTTCGTTTTGTAAACTTTAATTGTCTATATATCTACTGACATCAACGATATCAAATATTCAAATCTATGGCGTATTATCGCAAATGTTGTAAGCAAGGACACACACGTTATCATCGTAATAGGCCCTGCATGGCTATCGAAGTAGGGCGCAAGAACTAGCTCGGCTTATTGACCGTTTTTCACTGAGCTCTAACTAGGCTATACAGATTTCGCTCAAATTTCCATGTATAAAATTGAACCCTCAACAAATCAGGAGTTGCTTTATCCAATTACTCAGGGTTGACAGCTGCCTCGTCCCCCAAAAAAACACAAAGTTAGGGTTTTACCTTGTCGATGGTAAACAGCTAGGATCTGCTTGAAACCTATTTAAAACTTGTTTAAAATGTGCTTGATACTATTATGTCTGAGATGCCGTACATATTTGGAAGGATTTCAACGAGATTGGAGATAAACAGCGGAGTAAATTGGAGAATTTGGCCAAATACGTCCATTTGCAGGAGGTAGGAACTTTTCAAATTATTATTTCGGTCACAAAGTATTAACTATTTTACAACAAAGCAGTGATAATATACTTAAATAAGTACCAATTATGTTTCTATAAAAAAGATTTAGGAAAAAAGGTAATGTAGGTCCACTGCTGTTTATTTGAATTTGTAAGTCACAAATTGACGTTTGACTATGAGTATTGCATGGTCATTTTCTTGTGAAATATCAGTGCTAGGCATTTCTCCACCGTCTCAAAATGTATCACAGAATTATGCCAAATCAATATGTATTATTGCTTCTCCGTTTGGTCGAACACCTCAAAAAAGAACATATCAAAACTCCAAAGCGTGCAAAACTTCGCGGCACGCGTTATTACTGGAATTAGAAAATATGACCTTGTGACGCCTATCCTTCAGCAGTTAGCTTGGCTTCCAGTTGAGTGTATGTTAAAACTCAGGGATGCGGTTATGACATTTAAGTGCATGAAAGGGTTAGTTTTGGTTTCTCTGTATATACTAAGGCTTGCAGATATTGTAGGGTTCCGGAAATATTAAAACGTATCACTATCAGGCCGTATTACAGATGTCGCGTCAGCAACATTGGCGCTTTAGCCTGTGTTTCCAGTCCACTCGTTCGATTGTCTATGATTCTACATAGCGAAGTGTTTATGAATTATGGGCTTTCAAATACTATTAACAATAATGCAATTTGGGAAGCATATAAGAAAATATTTACCTACTATTTATTAAGGAATATTATTTCCCTGTGTGCTACGGCCTACGAGGAGTTTAACGGGCAGCACTTCGCTACGTACCTTTTGGTATCCTAGTACATAGAGGATATTACACGGCGGCGCGAAGCGGATATGACTTTAATCTTCGAGTAGTGGCGGAAAACAATACTTTACGAACGAGCGCAGTGAACGGGCGCGGACTGGCGGACGCGAACTGCGCGCGTTTCAACCGCGTATATTAACTCGAAACTTAAGGATATTCAAACTTGAATTGAATTGAATTGAATTGAATTGAATTGATTTAATAACTACTGACTTTGTAACCCAAAAAGGTTAAATTACACCAGTATTACATAAATTAAGAGGATAAGTTAAAATTACATAATAATTACATATTTAAGATTATTTACATTTCTAAAAACTTATTTACTGTTAATCTTTAATATACTTTGAGGTAAAAACGAATTCTTAAAACGTTCGGTTCTGCAAACATAATTATGATATTTACATATCGGTCTTAGATCATATCCAGATAAAACTGTTTGTGGTAAAAGATCTTTGAGATTTTCATTGTCAATATTCTTCTCAAAGAAATGTTCGCATAATTTTTCTCGTCGATCTCTCAGTGACGTGATGTTAGTCGTGATCAGCGCTTCGTCGTACTTTTGCGATGGGAGGATTATTCTCAACGCGCGTTTTTGTATTTTTTCAATATCGTCACATAAATATTGTTGGATATTGTAATGCCAGACCTGGCATGCGTACTCTAAAACAGGCCTAATAATGGTAGTATATACAGTAATTAACGTGTCAATACACGCGTTGGACCTTTTTAGCAGTCTTAGCATATAGAGCCTCTTGCTAGCTTTTTTAACTATGTTATTTATATGTTCATTCCACTTCATGTTATCTTGGACTGTGAGGCCAAGGATACGGGCAGATTTCTCTCGTTCAATATTAACTTTATCGACTGTTAAAGGGGGAAAGCAATGCTTCTTTTTTGCAAAATCAATAACCAGTTCTTTGCATTTTCCAATGTTTAATTTCATATTATTACTCGTAGTCCAATTATTGATGTAATTAACCAGTTCTTGAAGGTTGCTGTTACAATCTGGGCCAATGGTTTCGGTAGTGGTGGTGTCGTCAACGTATTTCCATCGGTCTTTCCAATCAGCGAGGAGGTCGTTTATCATGATTAGGAAGAGGATTGGGCCTAAAACAGTTCCCTGGGGTACTCCACCGTTGAGGATTTGCCATTCTGACACACAATGGGGCATTCTGACCCGTTGGCTTCGTTGAGTAAGAAAACTTCTTATCCAGTTTGTTATTAATGATGGAACGTCCATATCAGATAATTTACTGAGGAGGATGTTATGATCGATATGATCAAAAGCTTTGGAGAAGTCTAATAAAAAAATTCTCACAGCGTTTTTCGGCACATCAGTTTCGTTTAATAAGTGATGGAGAAGGCTCAATAATGCATGTGTTGTTGAAGAGTTTTTAGAGATCCAAATTGCCGTTTATCGATCTTCTCACCAATCAACTCCATCAGCCAGTCTGCGACAAAACGTTCACACGTTTTTGACAAAGTGGCAGTAAGCGAGATGGGACGCAAGTCTTTAGTAATGTCCCTCAGCACCTTATTTTTAGGTACAGGGATGACGTCGGCTTTTTTCCATACCCTGGGAACAGACGCCTGTTGAAGGGAGGCGTTGAAGATTGAAGTAACAGGGGAAGACAGCAGGGGCGCATAATCTTTTAGGACCCAATTCGGTATTTCATCTGGACCAGCTGCTTTCGAGGATGATATTGAAGATAATTTATAATAAATGTCTTCTTCCCTAATAATGTACTCGGTTGGAATTGTAGTACAATCGCTTTGTAATTGGCTATCGGGGAAAGGGATAGGACTAAGGGAAGGAATATCTCGAGTAACGGATACGAAAGCCTCGTTAATTTTTTCAGCAAGTTGCTTTCCAGAAACGACTTGCTCTCCTAGGACAATACTTGAAAAAGATTTCTTCTTAGGGTAGGCAGCTATTTGTTTTACGGTGTCCCACCATTTCTTAGGATCCCCTGATCCCCTTACGTTTCAATTGTTTCAATTTATGTTCTAAGAATGCAGATTTAAGGTACTTACTTTCTCGATTGGCACGATTACGTAGTCGCCGGTACAATTTGTTATTTTTCTGAAAAAATGCCTTCTGTCTGCTTTTAATAAGTTCCTTGTATGAAGGTGTTATCCAAGGCTTATCTCGGTCGTGCATTTTAACTACTTTACATGGAAGGAAGTGGTCTAAGCCGGTGTGAATAACATCCTGAAAAATTTCCAGTTTTTGTTCGCACGGTGCAGTATGATACAGGTTAGTCCAATTATAGTTCCTTAGCCATCTTCCAAATGCAACTTTGGCACCTCTGTTACCGGGTCTAATTTTTATTTTCTTGCATCCGTTCAATGATTTACATTTTTTTAAAATGCATGAAACGGAATTATGGTCGCTGAGTCCGATGGGTGCGATCACCTTAGGAGGGTCACATGGGTCTGACATATTAGTAAGAATAAGATCAAGGACAGCATCTTTTCTGGTTGGTTGTTTTACGATTTGTTTCAAAGTAAAATGTCTTAATAAAGATGAGACAGGACATCTGTTAAAATCTCCGAGTAAAAATATACCTGCATTTGGGTACTTACTGAGAGCGAGGTCAAGTGTTGAGCTGAGGTGATCTATAAACGCGGCGTTGTCGCTGGATGGAGGTTTATAGGCCACACAGACGATCAAACACGAGAAGCCTCGATTAAGTTTATAAGGTCGTACATAGATCCATAAGGTTTCAAAATTGATGTCATTAAATTCTGTTAGAATTTTGAACGGGATGACTGATTTAATAAAAGCACAAACTCCACCGCCAAGTTTATCAATTCGATCACATCTTGCTATTGAATACCCGCGAATACAAACTGCTGCATCGTCGATTTTCTCATTTAACCATGTTTCGGTTATGAAGGCCATACTCACATCATATTGGTCAAGTATAATTTTTAATTCATCCACCTTTGGTAAAAGTGATGTATTTGAGAGAAGGAATGTCAGTAAATTACTTTGGGCGCACTTTGGGCTTTGATATAGAGACGTGCTTTGATATAGGGATGGATTCTTGATTGGAATTTCAATTAGATTACGCGTTCCGCTACGGTTTCGTTTGCTAGTATTAGGAATATGTTCATTATAACACGAAGCGCTAGACTGCTGACCTTCGAATTCATGGTAAGATGTAATTCTTACTGGTATAGTGTTTCGTTCTGGTGTGATTATAGTGTTGTTACTAGCTGCGAGAGGGATCTCCAAGTTTATTGCAATGTGCGACGGACAAACTCCAGGTAATTCAACCAGTCTGCCTGCTGGCTGAATCGCGACCGAAAAACGTATGCCGGTTCATCTTTCCTGTTTCATTCCTTTGAGTCTGGCGTGAGCGAGGCGCATGTGTCGAGTAATTAACAAGTAGGGGCAACCGTCCTATCCAATCAAGGGGTTCGGCCCCACTTCGAGATGTATCCATGGGGTTACTAACTGTCGCGTTAAGCGTTTCAACCAGAGGTAGGCGGGCCAACCATTTCAAAGATCCAGTCCCACTTGGTGCCGGCTGACTTTCGCCAGTATTAGCACAACTAAGGTTTGAAATATGTTGTACATTCTGTTTATTTCTTGGTTTTGGCTTCACACAACTGACATTTGATTGTGGGCGAAAAACAGCTTGCGAATGTTGATGGGAATTACTTTGTTTTACAGGACTGACTAAGTTGTAATGATGAGCGTAATACTGCTTTGATTCATGTTTAGCAGAACCAGCGCCTACGCTAAGGGGTTTTGTTGTGTTAGCAGTCGATCCAATTTTAATTACTTCAGGATTGGCCTTGGGAGTTTCTAATTTATGGTCGGAGGTGGATTTGCATACTTTATAATGATTCTGTTGACCTTTATTTATTCCTGGTGCACCTTCGATTTGCTGGGTAACGTGTTTGTTAGAATTAGGGTAGGCCTGGAGCGTTAACTTGTTATTTGGCTTGTTACTACTAACAGAACAAAACTGGGCTACTCCGGGAGGGTTGGTATTTTGTTGGCAGATTACGGTTGACCGTAATTGAGCACAAGACTGATTTGAACCATGTTTACATATGGGAATCGTAGCAGTACTATCAATCTTGGTTGAGTTAGCTGTAGGTCCAACATTAATTGATTCAGAATTTGTAATTGGGACAGTATTATTGTCTGAAATGAAGTTACTTTTACTCTGATGGCTTTTGATTGAGTCTAGGTCGTGACGAATTTGCTCAATCGCTTGATTGTTAGACTGAACTTTGCTTAAAATATTTGATTCTGTGATTATGATGTTTAGTTTGAGACCTTCAATTTCGGTCGATAAACCACTAAGCGTGTATGTGCACTGGTTATCTATCGCGTTTGTGGCATCAGCTATATTTAATCCGACATTGTTATGTACTTCGAAATCAGTTTGGGTAGTGGAATCGTGAAGATCCTTTCTGGCGAGAATTGCAGAAAATTCATTTAGTAATCTAGTTGTAGAATAACAAAGCTTGTTTACAATCACAAATACACCGTCAATTTTATCCTTAATCGCTTTTATTTCAGCTATAGACTGGCTTGGGCATTCACTAGAATTAGTAATTTTGCCAATGTCACGCGATTCTCCTGTCGATGATTTTGGCTCGTCCGGTATTTTATGTGTAGTATCGCTTGGCGTGTTCAGAATACTTATCAATAATTTCTTTAAGGATTCACCGTCTTTCCCGCTGAACAGCAAAGAATTTTGCTTACCTGGGTGCCAAGTCATTGTCAGATCTAGGTCATTGCTTACAAACTGTTTAGATTTGCCACCGGGCGACCTCCAGCAACCAACCAAACCGACAACATTTTCGGTAAAATTCTTCAGAGATATCAGATCATTTGACCACTTTATACGTGTACCATCATAGACTAAGTGTGTATTAATGTTTAGCAATTTTATTGAGGGTATATCAACACGATCAAGACTAAAATTCCTTACTGTAGGCGAGTTTAAAATTTTGCTGCCGTCCGCCATTATGCAGTTAACAAGGATTGAACGTGATCAGATGTCTCGTTCGGTTTCCTGTTAATTTCGTCCTGGATCGACGGCTGAAACTAGGATTAAGTTCTTGCGTACGTGTTTCCATTCTTTTATTTCATGGGAATGAAATAAAAAAAAAATATTTTTTCTTCGTGAAAAAATTTTACAAGTATCCTGCAATGAGAATGACAAGAATCCATAGATTTTTTGCAAGAAATTCTATTCCTTTTGCTCCCCATTTCAGAATAGTCGCTAGCATATTCAGGATCGGAACGAGAACGGGAAGTGCAGCTTTTGCGACTTTTGCCAATGCTTTTCCAACTTCACCCACCCCTCTTGCAGCACCGACCAACGTCTTTTTTCCGGCAACGACGACAGTCGTAATAATTCCCGCGATGGAAATAGCGATCGCAGATAAAACTCCTAAATTTTCTCTGGCCCAGACTTTAAATTTTTCAAATCTCGTTCGTACATCCTCGCGAACTTTTTCCCGGACACGATGCACGCCTTCTTCGGATTCGGGACGTTCCCGCATTTCTAATTTCGCATCGTCGATATTTTGATCGATAATTTCTAACGCTTCGCGAAAAATATCTTGACGTTCGGGATCGGATTCAGTTTCGAAATCTGTTTTAAGTTTTTGACGTTCTATTTTTAAAAACTTAATCCGTTCGTCAGGCTGTCCTTTGGGAACGGTAATTCCAGCCAGTTCCCTCGCTTCCTGTTCGGTGAATTTACCATCGCGATGAAACTGTAAAACCCGTTCGTGAAATTCAAGATTATCATCGATATTTTCATTGTGAATTTCATGACGCACATCATCTGAAATATCATCGTGAAGATTTCCATCTGGAACTTCTTCTTCTGTAATACTGACAAGTGTTTTTTGATGTTCTTCCGTTGCTTTTTCAAAGGCGGTTCTAAAATTTTTTTGACTTTGTATGATCGTTACATTTTTGCTTGTGGATAGGGAGTATTCCCCATTTTTTTCGATGTAAGCGACTTTAATATTATCAAATGACAGCCAGTATCCGTCGATAATATTTAGTCTGGAAAAAAAGTCTTTGGAATTCGGACCGTCGTTTGGACTTAGTCGGTATTCATTTTTAAAAAGTTTTTTCACATATTCAGATTTCAGACCGGCAGAAGATCCAGTCGTATACAGGGAATTGGTCTGTTTTTTTCTTTTTGTATACCTATCATTTTCATTCTGTCTTTTAAAATCTGTTAACCATACTTCGTCGTCCTGTCGATCCAAATTATCCAATTCCGTTTTGTACAAGTCATCATCTAAATTATGACTAGTTTATTTACCACTTAGATCCAATGATAATTCATGTTCGTAAAATCTTCCTTGAATTTCGCGATCGTCATCGTCGGGATCGATGAGTTTATACATGTTCGGATCACCGCGAAACACTTCCGACACGACGTAAACGTCGTCGGTATAATTCGGAGTGTATCCTTTCACAAAAGTGTCGCGATAGATTTGGTCTCGGACACGATCTCCGACTTTAAATTTTGGTTCTGGAAAGTGAGATAAGGGATAACCGTAAAGTTTAACCCAGACTTTATCTTTATTGGTTTCGTTCACATCGGCAGGTTTCATTCCAATCGTACGATGTTTCGAATGATTATACGATGCAACAAAATTATCCAAGACGTCGATCCATTTTCTTGACTTTGTCGTAAATTGTTGTTCGGTAAAATATTTCCACATTCTTGTTTTTAACGTCCTGTTAAATCTTTCGACGACGGCTGCTTTTTTTCCAGTTAGTAGCGTCGAAAAATTATGAATGTCATGTTTTTCCAGTAACGCTTTAACTCCGTTATTGTAAAATTCTTTCCCTTCGTCGAATTGAACGACTTTTGGGTATCGTCCGAATCTTTCTCGAAATTGTTCCAGGATTTTTTCGACGGCCGGAACCATGTCTTTCGCTCCTTTTCGGTAGGCGGGAACAGCAAATGCGTATCGACTTAAAATTTCGATGGATGTTAAAATCCATTTGTAACCTTTATTTGCACGACTGTATGTTTGCATATCCACCAAATCTAATTGTAATTGCTGGGCAAGTCCATCGACGTACGTCCGTTGTGTTTTAAAATGACCTAGTAGACCACAATGTTATTATTAAAGAATTAACCCTGCTTGGTACCCATCCCTCTATAATTCGGTGGATTAAAGCCTTCCTCTGCGATCGCGAACAATGTGTCCGGGTGGGAACTTCTATGTCCTCTTGGAAGAAAACAAATGGTGGCTTGCCACAAGGTACAAAGTTGGGTCCATTATTGTTTGCTGTTCTTATTAATTCCTTACTCAAAAACTGGCCCAGTAGGATCAAGTTTGTGGATGACACCTCAGCCCTAGAGATTATACCACGTTTTTCATCCAGTTTTAATGCCATTAGTCGTAAATGAAATCTCGGACTACGCCTTAGAACGTGGAATGGAACTAAATTATAAGAAATGCAAACAAATGTTGATCAACTTTCTTAAATATAAAGGATCTGATGATGAAAACCCGATCTATGTTGCAGGTAAACCGGTGGAAACTGTGTCCTCTTTCAAACTCCTAGGTGTATGGATATCAAACGACTTGTCATGGAATACTCATGTCGACATGGTATTGAAAAAGGCAAATTCTCGCTTATACGCATTGCGTCTGTTAAAAAAGGCTGGTCTTCAAGCATCTGACATCGTCCAAATATATATCTCATTCATCAGATCCAGAATTGAATATGCATCCCCTGTATGGTCGTCAATACCTAAATCATTATCTGACATTCTCGAATCTGTTCAAAAGAGAGCATTGAGAATAGCTTATCCAGATCTGTTATATGATGAAGCCCTTGAAATTTCAAACTTACAGTATCTGAGTACTCGTAGAGACATCTCTTGCAAGAAATTCGTCGAATCTCTGCGACGTGATGTTTCACCCTACAACCCTTTGACCCAAATTATGGAAATTCGTCCCGGGGTAAAAACTCATGATTATGACTTAAGGAATGACAGAACGGCCGAACAACCTTTATGGTCAGAAACCACTGAACGGTTAAAAAACTTCGTGACTAGGAAATATTATTAGCTTTATAGTTAATTAACAGTCCTAACTAAATAAACATTATTTTATATAATATATATATGTACATTTTAATATAAATTTTTATGCTATATTAGTACTCCATGTAATTCAGTTTTCCTTTAAAAACTGCAAATTGGTTTTAATTAAACAGATTGATTGATTGATTGATTGATTGATTGTGAACGACGTACGTATTTTGCGTTTGCAACCATGCCTTAACTTTTTCGCGCGTGACACCAGGAATACCTTTTTTCACAGCATCCCTATAAAGTTTTTCCATCGACATGTATCCACCGTTCACGTTAAAATACAGTTCGCGTAAACCAAGATCGAATGCATCCATATTTATAATAAATGAAAAAGATTACAGTTTTTATTCGGGACGGAGAAACTACGATGAAATTACAGAAACCGTTGACTTTAACACCTACATCTAAACTTTACATAAAAACAGTTGCTTTATTTTGGACGTACGAAAATATTCGGAAAGACGACAATAATTATTTTTCCGTCGACAAGAAGAAAGTGATGTTAAAACATGGATACTGGACGTTTAAACAATTACGTCAAAAATTAGAAAGTCACGGTCTCGTCGTCGAAGATTTTCCAGACGGACGGATACAAATAAAATTTGGAAAGAGTATCAAATCTTTTAATCCGTGGAAATTAAGTCATCTGCTAGGATATACGACATTTTCAGAATTACATCCGGGTCAGCATCCCGTGGATATTCACGAAGGATTACGTTACGTCACGATCGGTTGTAATTTAGCGAACCGATCACAAAATATAAATCCCGACGGCAATCCGAGTAGTATCATATCATCCCTTCCCATCGATGGAACGAACCTTTATTCGGAACGACGACAAAATACAACGACATCGAAAGTGAAGTACAGGCCGATGCAGGGATTTACCACGAACTTCATTTCGATGTAAAATCCAATATCGATGGAATTACACCTTGTAATGCTTTAATAGATTTGTATATCGTCTAAGAAATAAAGATGGAAAAGGAAGAACAGATTTTACGTGACTATTTGCGGAAAAAATTACGAGAAGGTTCGAAAAGCTTATCCGTTAGAAATTCAGAAACTTAAAACTAATTTTCTTAAAAAATATCCCAATGCAACATTATCCAGGTTTGAATTTAACGTGACATTTGTTAAAGATGGAACGTTAAGTTCGACCGAAATTTCTTACAAGGTGGATGAATTCACCAGTTATGATATAACGTCCGAAACATTCTTAAATAATCCAGAATGGACTAAATATTTATATTGGAAAGATGGATGGCGAAGTGTTGCATCCGATATGATATTACGTCCGAATTTAGACTTTGCCGTAAATTTTCACACGTTTAAAATCTATGTCTCGGAAACAGATTCTTTTCCCGTGGATTTAGAATATACGACACCCGAGTACACGGGAACGGGAAATTTTGTAAATTTAATTCCGTTCGACTATCATCAAAATTCTTATTTTCGATCGTTAGCAGCCTGTTACATCGCGACATTTAAATCCGGGATTTCAGAAAACCATTTGAATAATACCTTGTCCGATTCACATTTGATCACATCCATCGTGAAATTTCACGTTCATTATCAGATGGAAAAATTTATGAAAGATTCAAGATTAATGGATCATTATTTAAACGAGGACGACCTTTACGTTTTAGGAAAATACATGCCGACGACCGAAACGTGGGAACGACGAACATTATCTTCACATGCAAACATCGGAACGTGGTATTATGGATTACCTGCCGATACGCAACAAAAAATTCGAAACCAACATTATGTTCGTACGCGGTACGGAGGAACATACATCGTGTACGAATACTTAACGAAAAGACTTCCGAAAAATGTCGCGGAAGATTATAAAATATTCATTCCAAAAACATCGCGCGGATTGACGAAGTTAGGACAACGATTATTTCAACAGAGTCTGGAAGTTTACGTCTATGCCGTTCTTGGACCACAAGCAAAAACCCGTTGGAGTATTACGGGACAAGGTGCAAAAAGTTTACAGACCCAAGACGTGCGAAAAGTATTAAAAGACAGTATCGTCCAGAATGATATCACGACGATCATTCGGAACATGCGTATGGCGATCGCAGATACGAACGTCGTATTGAATTTTGCCATCATGCCAGGTCTGATTCTCATTCCGTCCGACATGCGGATTTTACAAAAACCTTTGAAAGGCTACAATAATATTTTAACGTTGGCAAGAAGTGGCATGACGTTTGGAAAAAATGATGACGTGAATTATACAAAGACTCCTGTGAAAGAACCAACAAGTCCAGAAAATCATCCTGGAACAAGTCCAGCGAAACATCCTGCAACAAGTTCGGTGAAAAATCCAGCAAGTCCCGTGAAACATCCTGCAACAAGTCCTGTGAAAAATCCTGTAAAACCAACAAGTTTCGTAAAAAATTCACAAGGTCCATCTACTCTGGGAATTGTAACCATTGTTTCGATGGGAGCAGCTTACTTTCTATGGAAATAATAAAATGAGTATATTGTTGGGATACGACTACTTTGACGAATTCGAAGACATGAAGAAAAAAGTGACGGAGATCGAAAAGAAACAGCAGGATAATACGGCCGACATCCAGAAAAACAAGACCGAACTGGTTGATCTAAGTGAAGTCGGAAGAAATCCACCCGTTCAGATTGATCTCGTACAAAAGGTCGGACTACCTCCGTGATTTCTCGAAAGTGCAGTCATTTCCGAAACCAACCGAAACGATGCAAAATTCATCATCTTTAAGTGATCGTTCAAGTGATTGATCATTCATCATCTTGGTGGATTCGAGATTAATCAGGAAACTCAATCTCCCGCGTACGGATTTCGTACGGGAAATACCGGAAACGTTGTCATGTTTTGTGAAACGCAACGCAGCAAGATCGTTCGTACAACGTTCACGTTCTTTTACATGGCAAATAAAATTACCGTTTACGGCTTAAAATTTAGAGATCTCGATGCAAACGGAAAAGCATACATCCGAAAAGGTGCGACGAGCCTTAAATGCTTGCTGGTGACTTAGAAAAATGTTTTAAGTTTTTACAGCTTAAAAAATTCGCGTCAATACATAACCACCGCCCACACCTAAAATTCCAACCGTCATCGTTAAATATTTTTGCATTTCATCCGACGGTTGATAATAATCTTCAAACTTGGGTTTACGATCTAATGCATTCAAATCTTGTCGTCGATTATAATTTCTTAATTCATCCATCCAACGCTTTATTTGTCTCTTCGATATCATGATTGGCATCTAAAATTTCTTGCCGTCGTCGTAATTCTTCGTTCCGTCTTTTGACTTCGGATTCGTAAAATTTTTCTTTCGCCGCCGCTAATTCTTCCAGCGCATGATTATGTCTTTTCACTTCTTCTTTGTACCCGTTTTGATTTAAGTGGGAAAACAAAAATCCTGCGCCTGCAAAAGCGATCGCATTGAATAATCCACCGACTACTAAATTGGTCGTCATCTTCTTTATTTACCGATTGTTTTTGGAACGTATCCTTTATCTTTGAGATAGGCGACGGCAACAGAACTTCCTGCAACGGCAACACCAAGTTTCATCGCTCCTTCCAACGTCATCGGTGCACCCAGACTTTTTCCGGCGATCATTTTCGCTGCATACGAAATTCCTACAACTCTGGACGTTAGAAGTACAGCATCGTATAAATCCTGAACGAGTTCTTTTTTAGTATCAGACATTCTCTTTTATTTCCTGGGTGAAAGAAATAAAAAATTTTTATTGTTCTTTGAGATTTTTATTTTCGATCCAGAGTCTCTTGTTCTCATCTTCGAGTTCATGGATTTTTTCAGTTAATTCTTCTTCAAGATCTTGTACTTTTTCTTCAAGTTCAAGAATTTTAACTCCTCTTTCATGTGATAACTTTCTAGCCCGCCTATTATTCTCTTGTGCAGCTAACCCACCTTTTCTTCCGCGTAAAACTGCTTCGGGATCTTTCATAAGGTTAGTCTTTCGGGCCAGCTCACTTTTTACCTCCATCCATTCGGGTCCTTTGAGACAACGTAACTCGCTATCCTCAATACTTTTAAGCTTACCCACAACACCTGGTAATGCATACTTTCCCGTTTTCCGAATGGAGGGAAGAACCTCACTAATAACCCACCACTTAAATTCTCTCGCAACGGGTAATCTTGATTTAAATACAAGATCGTAAATACCATATTCGTTAATGAAAACAGTATTAATCCGTACGCCACTGGGTAAGTCTGTTAACTCGCTAGTAGCGAGTTTACGTATTTCTCCGAGTGAAAACTTTGATCTCACATCTATCTGATTGTCGATAGCATCGTGTGGATTAATGTATCCAAGTGCAGATGCTATTTCCCTTGCTAGGAAATAAATTGTACCATCACCGGTTTTAATGGTAGCAATCCTTCCATTTCCCAACAGTTCCGGAATGGTAAATAACTCTATACTCATCTTTTATTATCGTATAGAGTTTCTTATAAATACTTGAAGGAAAACCTGTTTCAGAACGAAACCTTTCGTTTTCTCCCAGGTCTAACCCTGATCCTTCATTCGGTTACGTTTTTTTTTCCTGGGGAGCCGTGTTTCACGGCCCCTTTATTTCCCCGAGTGTTGTTCTCATCCACTCTTTTGTAAGTCTATTCAATCAAACAAGTCAACAATAGGTTCTTCCGGTGATCACCCACAATTTCATTCATCTGTCTCACAGGATTTTCATCACGACTTTTCCACGTTAAGTACAACGATCCTAACCCAATTCCCAATCCAAGAATCATACATAATTTTTCGACGGAAATCCATCCTCCTCCATCACTTTCCGTCATACAACTTTCACGAACTTCTGCTTTTAGATTTTCCTCTTCCCTTGCCTTTTTTACTTTTTTTGCCTGCTGACTAATCTTTGCCAGTCTTTTTCCCGCTTCAACTCTACGTGGATCTTTAACTTTTTTCGGGGGTCCGGTCGTAACATTGGGGGTTGGATCCGGGTTAACTATCGGTTCTGTCATTTTCTTTATTGTATGTAAAGGAAATGCTAAAAATTTATTCAAGTTTACTTAAAATTTACTTGTAAGGTTTTACAGGACAAACGTAAAATTTACTAGAATTTTACTCATGAGATTCCTAAAGTCAGTCTTGAAATTTGTTGAAAGGTCTTACCAAGACTTGCTTGCAAGAAATTTAGGAATAATCTTAAATTCTGTTGAAAGGTCCTGTCAAGTCTTGTTTAAAAATGTTTATGAAATAGTGCAAGGATCCGGGTTGTCTTTTTTCATTATCCCAAGTGTAAGTCCCTCTGGTTTTTTCTCCGGTACTTTTTCCGGTTCTTCCGGTCCTTCCCGTCCCTTTTCCAATTCTTCTAATTCCGAAGCAGAAGGAAATTCACAAAATCCTTAATATTATAATTCGATCTTTGATAATACACGTTCAGATTCAAGAATGTCTTTGTGACCTAATGCTAGCGTATGTATTCTATCGTCTAAAATATACCGTTTGTCATCATTGGCCGAAAGTGCTGTTTTTACCAAACGTTCGGTATAAATCACATGCATATGGCTACGAAGAGTCGTCATTCCAACACGTTGATCCATTTCGTCGAATAAAACATCTTTATAATTTTGATGTGTCAAATCTTTTTTCACGACGCATTTTTTTACACCCTTACATTTTTTCATCACCTCTCCGTCGTCGTTGAGTACAGAATAAGATTTTGGACGTAATGCTACAAATTCTTTAATCTGACTCGCACCCGTTTCAGATTTCATCATACCGATGACTTTCTTGTTAATTCCACATGGAATTCCAGACGGATGGGATTTTGGAAAATTACTCGTGTCGAATTTTTGATGAACGTCCGGTGTAATGTCTTTGAAAAAGTCGCTGGTTGTTATCTCATAATGAAGCGAATCCGTATCTGTGAAAAGAAGTTCTGCTTTCTCCCCATATTTTTTCTTCATGTAATTGTAATGAAAGTCATACATCAACGTCTTGCTAATATCCAGGATAGCAACACCTACATAAATAGGTTTTGCTAAACGAACGGTTGTCTTTCGCATGTGAACCAACGCTAAGTACTCAGTGTAAATGTCTGTTGAGACGTAATAACTTTTTTTCACTAATTTATTCCACTTCTTTTCATTGTTAACGAGCTTCACGTTGATACGATTACGAACATTTTCCATCGTCTTTCCAAACACCGAATTATTCATCAATTTGAAAAAACTACTTTCAAAATCAGACTTGGCTTTTTTACGCAAGTCGGTATTCAACTGAATATAATCTGCCATCCATGCTCTTTCCGAAAACATCAGACCGCGATGGACTTTTGTTACGATCAATCCTAATTCCACATATTTCTTTAACGTCCTGTGATGAACAATATACTTTTTCTTATCGTTCAAATTCGGAACGAGTTTATCTACCTTTCCTATTCGAAGACGTTCTGGAGCCAACGGATACTCGCTGTGCAAATCATGTAATTCTTTCGGATATTTTAAATCTACTTCGACATAACAACCTTTTCCTTCCGGAAGACAATCCCATTTTTTTAAAGTGTCTAAATTCATCCATTCAAAATTCCCGTAAGGAAGTTTTTCACACATTGCCCATCCATATAGATTGTTCGCATCCAAATAGGGTAAAAATGTACTTTTCTCTTCTGGATTAAAATTTTTCGTATACTTATTATTTGCAACGGCGTATCTTTTATTGATCATACAAATCCCACCACGTTTTGCCTTTTCGACAAAATTAAACATGATCGGATCGGAAATTAAATCCAAACAGACTCGTGTTACTTTGAGACATGCATCCCATGCTAATCCTGGCGACGTATAATACCATGCAGGATCCAACTTGTAATTTTCCATACAGATCTCACGAAATCTTTCCATGATGTCTGCTAATAATAACACGTCTACTTTCAGATAAAGATCGTGATAATCACGTACGGTCTTCATGTTGAATGACTTCCATACTTTTTCCGCATGTTCATAATCTTTGTCCGTAATATCTTCATCCGTTAGACTACTGTAAAATTCTTTTTGTGATGGAAGAGACGGTTCGGAAAATTTCTGGAAATTATCCATCCATTCGTACGGATAAACACCTTTCCGTTTTAACATTCGACGTTGATCCGGCGTGTAACTTTTCATCATTCTATCCGTTAACTTAAAATCATCCTCTTCCAAATCTCTTGCAAGATTTCCTAACGAGGATGCCATGAATTTAAACGAATCTAGAAACCGTAAATTATGAAATATAGTTTTCGTCTCGCCGTTCTTATTCACAAATGTATCGACCGCCACTTTCTTCGTAAACGAAATATACTTTTCAGACGTTTGTGCGATACAATTAACATCACCTTCGCTTGTCCCAAAACATTTTACAACATGATGTGCATCGTATCCTGCCAGATTATGGAAAAAGACCGGTATAAAAATTGGGTTTCTCATTGCTAAATTACATCGGTTACATGCCGCGCCGCGATACGTACCCGTGTAATGACAATGATCCCTCACCTTTTGATTGTCTTTCGTAAACGATCCGCGACATGCATAACACGATTCGGACGATGCAAAATCCCTGGTATTGTTCGGTTTCATTTTAATCGGAACAGGAATCTTAAATCTTTCGTAAATTTCTTTCGTATCCTTTTCCAACAACTTGTAAAATTTTGCCATCACGTCTTCGTCCTCGTTTTGCTGCGTGTAACTTACATATTTCGGTGGATAAATATCATCGTCGAAACATTTGATCATATATGCAAAACTACACGCTTCGTGTTCCTGTGTTCTTTTCGTACTCGAATAATCCAAACTTTCTTTCGCGTCGTAAGAAAGAGGTTTTAATAAAGATTCCGTGTCCGCATATACCACAAACGGAACGTTGTGAATTCTATGATAATTCTTAAATTTTAAAGTACTATCTTCTTTCGGATACAGACATGTCTGTGCTTCGTGATCCAAACATAACTCTTTATGTTTTTCAAGTAACTTTTCAGATCCTAAAGGATTCAAGCAATTGTTACAAATGTGTTTCTTATGCTGGTGTTTACTCAACTGTTTTCCTATAAATTTCGACAGATCCGTGACGACACCAAAATGTTCATCCCATAATACCAAGTTGATAGAATCTAGTCTTCCCGAAATATACCACGGGTAAATTTTCAAAGACTCGTCAAATGCAAAAACATTAATGTGAACACCAGGATTTTGTCTTTCGAATTTTACAATATCTTTTTCCCCAGTTGGAAAATTTATACCATCCCAATTTAATTTCTCCGCCTGAAGACGAAGGATTTTTGTAATTCGAGCAGGATCCTTTTTTACTGGATTCAATGCACGTGTCACCGCCCACTTGAAACATTGATTGTCGGTATTCTTCATGTTGATGATCCCTTACTTCTGGTATATCCTTTTGGTAATTCAATAAACTTAGAACCACGGGCCGGATCATATTCGTCTATGTTAATCTCTAACCGAACTATTTTGTCCAACACCCAATCACTACCGTTCTGTTGATATTTTGCAAAAGATTCTAATATCTTTTCTCGCATCTCATCCCAAATTTCACCTCTTAAACTTCGTCCTGTAATCCCATAGGTTTTTGAGTAAAAACCGGACGTATCTCTCTCCACTTCTCCAGTAACCCTATTCACTCTTTTCATAATACAAAATAAACGTACCCATACTTTTTTCGACCCATCGATCGAATCTACGAGATCACAAACATGACGACCGGTCATATCTAGAAAATAAGGTGGATCGTATATCTTTTTCGGTGTGATCGTATACCTTTGTGTACGTCTTCTAAATGCATGCTGTTCCAAAACAGGTGTAAAATCTTCACCGCGAATTTTCATCTCGCTAGACATTAATTTACGATAACGAACCTCTGCATATTTCTGACGTGCCTTTGCATTTTTACGAAGTCTCTGTGTTTCCTTCTTCCATTTCTGAGCTTCGGATTTCCAATAAGATACTTCCTTACGACGTCTTTTTTTCTCTTTCTCAGTGTGTTTTTCCCATCTTTCTTCGTCGCGAAGTTTCCATCCTGTCTCCTTTTTATTTTGTTTCCATCTCCTCTCCTCCTTCTCACGTTGTTTTCGACGATCCCTAAATTCTTTCGCCGTAGATTTAATACTTTTTCTGAAATTCTGCTGTTCTCGTACAGGTTCATTCGTTCCTACCCCGGGTGTATCTTTCTCATGAACCGATCGAAAATTTCCTACTCGCGGACGATCGTAAAAATCTAGGTTCCTATTTGTCATTTTATTATAACAAAAAAAATTTCCATACTCCGAACGAGTATGGAAAAATGGCAGATAGGAACTTTGATTCTGTACTTTTTTTTTTTTTTTTTCTTATACTCCTTTATTGATATAAGGTATTACCAATTTTTTTTTCTAACTCTCTCAACCTTTTCTTACCAATGTAAATAAGACCATCCTTTTCCAATTCCAGTCGCCAATCCTCCCAGTTTCTGGTGAGGTACTCATCGTCTGATTTTTCCAAACGATAAGGACCTTGATCGCGTGCCGTTAATTTAATCTTTGTGGACCCGTACCTGTTTACGACGGCATCTTCGAAACCGAACGAGTCTTTGGTAAAGTCCGAGACTTTGGTGATTGACATTTTCCTTTATTGTATTTTTTTTATTCGTATAAATACTTACCGGTTCACTTTTTCCCGATCCCGTGTAAAAACACCCGCCGCCAAAATCTCGCGGAAGTTGTTTTTTTCAAAGAACTTTGTAAAATTCCTTGAAAAGATTTTTGGAAAAGTCACGAGGATGATTTCTTGTAAATCTTGGAAAAAGTCTTGGGGGACAATTTCTTGAAAATCTTGGAAAAGTCCGGGGGATGATTTCTCGGGGGAAAGTTCCCGGGAAAAATTTGGGAGAAAGTTCCGGGAAAAGTCTTGGGAATGATTTCTCGGGGGTGATCCTGGAAAAGTCTGGGGACGGGGACTGAAGGGGGCTCAGGGGCTGAAGACACTATATTTTGTGT